CCCTGAGCATATTGAATTGGCTTGCAGATTTATTGCCAAGGAGCAACATTTCTCTCCTTCAAGTAAGGGTGAGCTTTTATTTCCAAGGAAGTATTAAACCCTACATCAGCCACTTGTTTCCAGCATTACAGCAGGTAAAACTCCCCTCTCCATGAGGGAACAAGGTTTCTTTATCTCTAAAAACCCTGGTCATGTATGTTGTTTGCAGATTGTCACCCTCAGGAACCGGATCGATCAGGCTCAGAAGCAGTAAGTACCTTCCAAGCTCCTGGCTTGGGCGTATCTTCTCAGTGTTCAAAGTAGTCGCTTCAGCCCCAACACCGACATTTTCTTATTGCAATGAAGTGAGGCTAGAGATGGAAGAGCAACTACCATCCTGCCTCACATTAAGAAAATGAAGGGGAAACTGAAGTGAATGTAACAGCTAACAAGAAAAATAATGTTTCTTCACACCATGTCTGCAAAATTTCCATCTGCTTATTGCTGGGGTTTACAAACACCTGACTGAGGTGCTTTGAATACTTGAGGGAATACAACCTTTGTTTACAAAGGGTAAACAAGTGGTTGCTAAGATTATAAGGAATGGTGTGTAACAAGACTAACATAATGGGATTACTGTTGTGTGTTCTTGTCACTCATCATCTTTCCCTCACTTTCCTTCCCCACAAGACTTCTATTTCATTAGGTTTTTTGAGTTGTGTATCTGTAACTATTCTACAGTGAACTTATGAGAGATCAGGGCTAGACCAAACCTCAGGGCTAGGGCATGTAGAAAACTAACAGACACAGAGAAGGAACTGCAGGGAAGCACGAGAGGAGAGCTCTCCAGTGGTGATCTTCGCTGTGCTTCTGTATCGTCTTAGAAAAGTCATGTCAGGAATGAAGCGGTGGTCTTTGGTGACATCTTCGGATGATAGGGGTGACCAGACACTGCCTTCCCACTTCCCTAAGCCACCCTGGCTTATCAGATGAATGTAAAGCTGGAGCCTGAGTTGTCTGTACATGCCAAACATAAGGCCTGACCTTCCCCTGTTATTTTCCGTAAACAGCTGTAGGCTGATAAACCTCACCAGAATGTGCAGCTGCAGAAGGATATCATGGTTTGTCTGGGTGTTGCTGCTCTTCTGAGGGGCACTACCACACCATGCACAACAGACTGTACCATTACTGCATGCTTATTCCCCCAAAAGACATGATATTCTCTCAGGACATAATTTGAAAAGGTTGCGCTGAGAAGCCCACAGCTCGTGAGATTTCTGTGTACTTAAATTTGTATCCACACTAGATGGTAACATTCCAAAGCAGCGCCTGGTAAATGTGTTATATGAGGATCAAGTGATCCTTTGCTTCAGAATTTATTAAGTCTTCTTAAGCACACTCTAAAAGGTTAGGTATAACATCAAACATCACAGGTACTTGTAGAGATAAAAGGACTCTGCCTTCACTTGAGGAGCTTCGCAGGTTTTGAACCTGCAGAAAGGCTGGCAAAAGGGACACTAAGACGAATTTAAGATAAGCAGAAAACGCTCTGCTTTCTCTCATGTAAAAGGTCAATTTTTCAAATCAACTGAGTCTAACTTAGTCAAAAGGTAAAGTATCCACTATGTGTATGTCTGTGTCACTGTGCCACATCCTTCCGTAAATATAGCTAGTGCTCTTGAACCAATTCATGGGGCAGACCCACAAAAGTCTCCCCAGATGTGTTGTCCATGTCTTTTTTCTGCTCCCTGGAGGAAACAGTGGTTCTGAAGAAGGCCTCTCTGTTGATAGCAAGGCCTTACCACCTTGTGCCCCAACCCCTTGCTCTGCCAAGCCAAGGAGCTGCCCCCAGTTTGCATGAGCTTTGGTTCAAGAAGCAGCCTTATCATCATGTGTGTGAGATGGAAAGGTTTGGTCGTGTGCCGAGCCCCAAAAGCTGGGTTTAAGCACCCAAAAAGGTGTTGCCCATGGGAGCCAGTGCAGAATCTAACTCGACTAACTTCACGCCTGGCCTCTCTTTGACTCCAGGCGTGTCTGCTTCTTGGTCAGAAGGTAAGTGGCTTGCATGTAGGATTGATTGCCCTTCTGTGTGCAGGAAGATACTATTTGGAGATTTTGCCCCGGGTGCTTTGTGTGGGGAGTGTAGCTGGACTGATCCCACACACGCCATGAGCAAGATGGGGATATTGATATGAGGGGAGGCCTAAAAAGTTGTTTTGGAAGCTATTGCTCTCATCATGTAAGGAAGAAGTCACTCTGCCTTTACAAGAGCAAAGCAATTCTTAGTCATATTTAAATTATAGCTCGGCTTTTTGCCTCCACTACTAGATGACTAGAGCATCTGGGGAATTTGTCCAGAGCTTCCTGATAATGAGGAAATTTTCTCCAGAAACATCTCTAAATCCTAAAATAGCAGATTTGAATTCAGGACGCATCGAGTCTTTAGCTGGATAGTCCTGCCATTTAGTTTTGAGACCACATAAGTGGTCTCAAAAAATAGACTTCTGTCCTAATAATGCAGGAATCTGGAAGGCTCCACCTCTTTCAGGCATGCATAAGCTGGCCTTTCACTGAAAGCCTGAGGAGGAATCTCTTCCCACAATAGCAACAGTATTTTTCTCAGGGCATGCTCTATGGCAAGTGTGCCCAACGTGAGAACTGAAAACAGCTTGAACCTAATCTAAGAGTCAGAAATACGCAAGCAGTCACAGAGTCCCACCGCTTCCATCATGCTGACATGTTTTTCTTTCCTTTTGTATCATATCAGCAAGAAGGCAGGAGCAGCCAAGGGCAAGGTTGGCGGGCGTTGGAAGTAAAGAACCAGGCAGGATGGCCCTTAGTGGCGTACCAAAGCCCTGCTGGTCTTCTCTTTCTTTCTTCACCAATCACTTGTGTTCCTACGCATCAATGATAAAAATCACAACATCAACCTGCATTGGCTATTGCTGCTGCTTTTCTTCTTTTTCTTCCTGGAGGGGTCTGGCAGCTTCCTCAGTCAAAAGGAAGCAGGTTCCCTGTGGAACTGAACTGACTCCTTGCTGGCA